ATAATTTTCGATCAGGTATTAATTACGAATTAAGAAAGCGATTTGGTAGAGACAAACAATTAAAATCTCATAAAGATTTAGGCGATGTCGTAAAATTCAAAAGTGGAGATAGGTACATAATATTTTTAATAACAAAAACGAAAAAGAAACAATTAGCCACGTACCAAAATTTACACGTTGCTTTATTAAATCTTAAATATTTTTGCGAAAAACATAAATTAACCAAATTAGCAATGAATCAATTAGGACGACAAGACGGATTAGATTGGACAAACGTCAGATCAATGATAAGATACATTTTTCGTAATACAAATATAGAAATAATAATTTGTACCAAATTAGAGTTTAGTGGGGAAGAAAAATTAGTAATTTTCAAACAATTACATAATTCCGTTTTGGGTGGACACCTAGGAATCAACAAAACCGTAAAGAAAATAAAGAAACAATTTAACTGGCCGAACTTAAAGCAGGACGTAAGAGAATATATAAAGAATTGTACAGCATGTCAAATGAATAAAAATACTAACAAACATATTCAATATCCGATGGTGATTACTACAACTAGTACGAAACCATTTGAAAAAATATTTTTGGACATTGTAGGGCCTTTGGTTACAACCGGGCTAGGTAACAATTATATACTCACGATGCAATGCGATTTAACAAAGTTCAGCCTAGGGGTAGCAATACCTTGTCACACCGCTAACGTGGTGGCGAAAGCGTTCGTAATAAATTTTGTCTGTATACATGGGATACCGGACGAAATTTTGAGCGATCAGGGCACCGAATTTATGTCGAATTGTTTCAAAGATGTATGTAAATTGTTAAAAATCAACAAGATTAAGACTTCCGGTTATCATCCGATGACCAATGGGGCTCTAGAACGTTCGCATAAGACATTGGCAGAATATTTAAGACACTACGTAAGTAAAAGTTTAGACAATTGGGATGAACTTTTACCTTACGCCATGTTCGTATACAATTCTACGGAACATACGTCCACGAGGTACCAACCATACGCGTTATTATATGGTAAAAATATTAATATACCAGTTAAACTGAAAGCAAAACCAGAACCTAGGTACAATTATGAAGATTACGTATACGATCTTAAACAAAAGTTCCAGGAGGCTCATCAAATTGCACGGAATAGATTAATAAGGAATAAAGAATAAAAATCATAGTATTGTTTTAAAACCAGAATTCCAATATGTAGCGATTACAAAGAATAGGGAACAATATACCACGTTCACGGAAACTCAACTTTTGCATTGTACGGAAACAGAAATATTTACGATATGTCCAGAATTTTCACCAGTTGTTCACTCAAACAACAAAAACCCATGTGAAATAGCTTTATTCAAAAATCCGGATGTCTTGCCAGAAACATGCGAGACGGGAGTATTGGTATTATCAAAAGACATATTTTACAAATTAAAACATGCGAACACTTGGATATATACAACAAAGGGAGAAACATTAACTATCGCGTGTAGGGAAAATGCGGAACCATACATTACGAAAATACGAAAACAAGGATTAATTTGGTTAAGTTCAAAATGTAGAGCGTACGGGAACGATATTATATTAAATCCGACACAAGAAATAAAGTCTAAACACTATGTTAACTTTATACCCGAAGTAGGACAGGGAAAAATATCATTTAAGGTATCCGATAGAATAAAAAGTATGAACTTGCCTAAAGTAATAATTAAACCAGATTCACATAAACTCGAAAAAATACACGAAATAGCACAATCGTTAGACCATGTTCAACAACAAATTGATAATGAAATATTAACACAATCAGGACAGCTAGAAGCGAGTGATACGCGTAATTATTTATTTTATTTAACATTGGGCTTGATAGTATTCTCAATAATGCTAATCATTTTTATATATATAACATATAAATGCAGGCTCACTTCATTAAGGCGACCACAATATGAAATGGTACGAGTAGGTAAAAGTAAACTCTGCGCGGATAATATCCAAATTGAACAAAAATTAAAAAAAGTAAACGAACGAAATCCACTTGAAGGGGAGGATGTACCACCCCAAATAAAATAAACTATATAGAATTATTTTATTATTTAGAATATACTATAAGTATAATTAATTAAGTAGAAAATATAGGGAAAAAATATTTACATAAGTAGTTAGAAATAGTAATTAGAAATAGAACACGTATTAATATTATTAATAATAATAAATGTATTAACGACTGTGAATTAGAAGGGAAGTCAAGTTCGTTGTCATGGATTTTGAATTCACCAATATGAGGAAAACTGATATTGTGCTAATATCAGGGGCGATTTCGAACAGCTTGAACAAATGTAAGATTCGTAAGCTCGAGGGGAAACCGCTTCTCTTGCCACTTCATGAACAGGTAAGAGTTATGACTGTTCGTGAAACACAGTTGGCAGAGAAATCAATAAGGCGGATTTTTCACAACAAGAAGGAAGTGGAGACGACCTGTTTAGCGCAACTTAATAAAAGTCTGAATTCTCAATTAAATAACTTAACACCAGAATTCATAAGAAATTATATTTTGCATGGAAATAAGATAAATATAGTGGTATTGTTTGGGGGATCATACGATAGGAATATCCTAAATAGATTAGGGTTAGGAGATATACAAATACTAAATATTAGATGCTATGATTTAAATTTCGATGGGGACTTTTACATGATATTGGAAAAATTAAAGGGAAAGATAACAGAAAGAATTTTCGAATTTAGTGTAGGTAAAATCCAAAAGAATGGTAGGCTATTAAATTTAACGGAAGCACATAGCGGCATATGTACACATAAACACAAAATAACGTATGCTCACGATCCAAAAACCGATGTAAGATTTACAAAGTGTATATTCAACAAAATGGTTAGGGAATATGGGTATCAAAATTTAGTAAAGCAATTCCAACCATTATAAACAATACCACGTACATAGATCGACGTTGTGAAATGTAAATTTTTAACGAATTTTTATTTTTATTTTGGCAACTAACAAATAGCTTAATTAACACATTAAAGTAAATAAAAGAACAGGAAGTAACGATAGATACTAGTAAATAATTAAATTAGAGCTAAAATAGTAATCTAAAATAAATTAATTTCAGAATAGGAACGGAAAAAAAAAATACGATTAGAAATCGAGCGGTACATAATAGGGACATATTTAATCTATTATTGTTGGAGATAGATAAATGTTGCGCTATTATATACCGAACGGTTTGACAACTTAAGGAAAATGTTGGAGTTTGATCGTTTGGTGGTTGGTTCGAAAATCGTGTGTATAACGGATTTTTTAACGGAAACACCAACGGATCAAATGGCCAATAAAACTCAATAAGAAGTTACAAGGACAAGGTCTTGTTAATTTAGCCTGTGTCGAAAGAGAGTGCTTTGATTTTTCAGCACACTCTAACGTCACGGGTTCGATTAGCAAGATAAAAACACATACGAAAATAGAATAGAATAAAATCAATTTAGTACTTGTCTCGATCATGTAATAGAACTTAAATACAATAGTTAATTGCTTGGTCTGGACCTGTAGTAAAAAGATATAATCAAATCACAGTATAGGAATAGTAATATTAACTAGATATAAAATATAATAATATAACGATTAATGGAAAATATATATATAGGAACAAACGTAAGCGTAGAAAGAAAAAAAAAAATGGAAAAAAAGTGGAAAAAAAAAAAAAGGGAAATTTAGGATTAAATTTTTTATAGAATAATATACAAATACATAAAGGAACATATTAGCTTATATTGGACATAATTAACATGGTGATGGGAAAAGAAATATATTAATCTAATTTATTTAAAATATAATTAACATGGTAATGGAAAAAAATATATAACACACCAGTACACCACTATTTTATCGTATATATATATTGCACGGAAAAAAAATATATTGTAATAGATTTTAAGAATTCATATTATATTAAAGGATTAATTTATACTATATTAACACTAAGATAAGATTATTGTTGTAAAACAAAAACGAGAAAAAAATATATTGTTAATCACATAATATACTAACCTAGATAATAAGTAAAATATATACTGTAATATTGTGGAATATAATTTGTAATTGTTAATAACATTTAATAAATATAACCAGAAAAGTATGGTGTAATGTACCATATAATTCAATAATGTAACTAAATATCTGTAACAAACATATTATGTAAACATGTAATAATTGAATGTAATGAAATAATTTATATATGTAACTTGTAACCACATGGAAGTGCTTGAACTAATGGAGGGATGACTGAGTTAATTTTTCTCATTTTAAACGATAAAAATCAACTTTTAAAGGGGGAGATGTAGTAAGCCAGCTACTACGGAGTAATACCAATTTCATAAGTACATAGTTATTATTATAATATACGATGAATCGGGATTCGGAATTAGGCGTAGTAACATTTGACAGTAACAAATTCCACAGGTGCATAGTTATGATACTATATGGTGGACCGGCATAACCGGGAGATTAGGGAACATAAAAGACACGAGGGTTAAGAAAATAATCGGATGAAATATTTTACAGAAAAACTGAATACGACGAAATCAAAATATAAAAGAGTAAAAAAGATTATTTTATAATAATCATAATGTAGAAATACACGCAGCCGTAAATGCGTAGGCCGGATAAATGTCCACAACAAATCACATCCGTGAGAACCGAGATATCGTATATGTAGGCAAGGGGTACGGGGGACCTCATATATAAGGGAGCCCGAATCGGCCTGTATTCAGACGTGTACTACCACCCATTAGTGCAAGCACCTTCACGCCACTCTGTTGAATATTATTTGGACTTAGGAAAATTATCGAACGTTATAATAAAAATTCACAATAAATTACATCTGTCTTATCATTCATTGTCTACCACGACTACAACATCAAATAAAGTGTCTGCGACCTGCAATAATAATAACCTGGGTGCCACTTATCTACTGTCAGTACTACGAAAGTAGGTACCAAGCATCCAGGCTTATTACACATCCAGGGAATCACCAAGCCCGCCATCCGTCGGTTGGCCCGCCGAGGCGGTGTCAAACGTATTTCCGGTTTGATCTACGAAGAGACCCGTGGAGTCCTGAAGGTATTCCTGGAAAACGTGATCCGTGACGCAGTCACGTACACCGAGCACGCCAAGAGGAAGACCGTCACCGCCATGGACGTCGTGTACGCTCTCAAACGACAAGGCCGTACTCTGTATGGTTTCGGAGGTTAAATGCCGACAGTACTTACTTTTGAAGTTTAAAAACATCCTAAAAAGGCCCTTTTCAGGGCCACCATATGATGACATATATCGCGTATAATAACATTAAAGCAAAGTATACAACTATTGTCTGTTCCGGAGTTGTTCGGTGGCGTCATTGATGAATCCCAATTTGTTTAAGAAAACACGGGGAATAACGTTCCGATTATAATATTGAAGTAGATTATCTATGCATTGTTTCTTTGACAGTTTTTCCATGATTTAATTGAAATACTTCAAGTCAAAACATAGAAACAACACTATATTCCGTTGATAACGTAATCCTGTTTGAATATTATTGCGGCACTTTGAATCAATATTACAAAAAAAAGCTTCAAGTACTATCATTATACTTTTTTTAGCCTCCTTGGATGATGTTCTAATAACGTTCATATTATTGTAATATTAATTGTTTAATCGATTTCTAAAGCTATCATTCTAATGATATTATCGAGTAAATCGCTGCCTGGTTTGGTGATGAGTTTATTATTTTTGTGATTTACTATATCACTACGTCATTCGTTTCGTGAACCTACCATTAATAGGCTTTTGTTTCATGATTTATTTTTTTCGATTTTCATAACTATGTACTTTATAATTATATTACAAGAAATATCGGTTCCAATATGATAGAGTATGCATGATAACATGTATAATAGTGTAGAAACTGTAAATACGATAGATATCCGTGTTATTAATAGCCGTTGTGAGGGTATTACCGTCGATAACAAACAATTTGGTATAAACATTCTAAAAATAACTCACCAATGAAAAACCTCTGTTTTTATAGAAATACCGAAACGGGGAATAATAATAATGTCTCGACGTGATTATTAAATTTCATTACAAGTTAAATCATGCGGTTATAGATAATATTTCATTTGGGAATTTCTTAATTATAATCCAAGGGTTTTATTTCAACTAATTACAATTAAACTTCGAATAAAATATTAATTGAGGGCATTGCGGTAGTGTTGCGGAATAGCGTGAATTTTTTTTATGTACTTTATCACTTGTAAGACGGAGACAACGAATGCGTGTACGTGCAGGCCACGACGTTGCGCAGGTGAACTGTAAACAATTTATGTTCATTTTTTTTTTATTTTACTTTTCGTCAATCCAGATAACGCGATGAAACTACTGGACACTTATTTGCAGTAGTCGTTAATATGACTACTTGTCTTGAGTTCGATCATCACACATTTTAAGATTATTCGTTTATTTTATTTAAATTTAAAATTTAGGAAAATATGAGACATTTGATCAAAATTGGTATTAGTTTAGGAACGAGAAAATGTGACGTGATCGATTTCACATAGATATATTAATGTATTCAAATCAGTTTTCAAAAAGTCTTATCCCGTCATCCGGTCCATCGGTATGGTTGACAAAAAGTGCATACAAATGAACATAAATTGTTGTTTCGACCGAAGTCCTTTAACAATGTGTTGTTATAATCATTTATTCGGTAAAGTACGATTAAGACGAGATTTATTGACAAAGTCTGTCTCGTTAAAACTTCAGGTAGAAACACGCCGGTGACACCGTGCCGTGGCAGAGTTCTAAAACCGTCATATTCGAACAGCCACTGTTCATCGGAAAATCGGTCGATTGGAAATCTGCAAACGCCATGGTCTCGGGAAACTCGTGGAGAATTCATCCAAAATATTTTCGTCAATTTTCGACTGCTTTCAGTCATACGACAGACCTTCAAATACGGTTTACGAAAACCCGGTCGGAAGTGTGGAAATAACGACTCGTGGTGGTTTCGTGGTACTGGTTGCCGATGCAATAGTCATTGGCGATCGTTTAGAATTTAGTTAGCTCGCCAAAAAGTTCAAAGCAAGATTTTTACCACCATTTCCCGTTGAGATATTGTGAAAAACGATTGTACAACCGTAGCCCGGAGGACGACGCGAATCACACTGGTTTACTAGTTGGTACGGTGCACTGTATAAACGTACACATTTTTCGACCCAATTGGTATCACCGCAGTATCCAGTGGAATTATCCATCGTTTTAAATTTTTACTTGAACAATATCATCATCAACAACATGACAGACACCGTTGCTACAACTCCGGCTCCAGTCGCCGCATCGCCGGCCGCGAAGAAGTCCCCTGCCAAGAAGAAGTTGTCGGCTTCTAAAGTCAAGAAGACCGTTGCGTTGCACCCGACCACCGCCGTGATGGTCACCTCGGCTATCAAAGAGCTCAAGGAGAAGAAAGGTTCGTCGTTACCAGCCATCAAGAAATACTTGGCCGCCAACTACAAAGTCGATCCCGCCAAGTTGGCGCCTTTCATCAGGAAGTTTTTGAAAGCCGCCGTCGCCAACGGTACCGTCGTCCAGACCAAGGGAACCGGCGCATCGGGACACTTCAAGTTGCCCGTCGTCGAGGTCAAGCCGAAAAAAGCCGTTGTGGCCAAAAAGAAGAAATCCATCGTCAAAAAAGTCAAAGCCGCCGGAACACCGAAAAAGAAGAAGCTCGTAGCCGCCAAGAAACCCGCGGCGGGCGAACCAGCAGCCAAAAAAGCGAAAAAGACCGCTGCAACCAAACCCAAGGCGACTACACCGAAGAAGGCCCCAGCCAAGGCGAAGAAGCCGGCCGCTGTCAAGCCCAAATCGAAGAAAACTCCGATCAAGAAAACCGCAGCTCCCAAAAAGAAGTAGGCTGGTAGTAAAAATACTTTCCTCTTCATACCTTAAAACGGTCCTTGTCAGGACCACCAATTTTATATAACATATGTCTTGCACCGACATTTTTCATACATTTTTGTAAGCCGTATGAAGTGTGATGATTTACTGCCGCAACTGATCGTTTCAGACTATGGACGGGTGAAACTACGCAATTGCAGTTTGATTATTGTAATCGAATTGAAATAAAAACATCGGTCCCAATTATTAAGGAATTCCCAAATTCAATGTTATTTATAATCATAAGCGATGCAAATAAAAATAACATTTAATTACGTCGAGATACTATTGCCCGTATTTCTATGGGTTTTTCATTCATGAGTTATTTTTAGAATGTTTTTACCGAATTCCTTGTGATATTAATAATATGAATAGTATTAACTATCAAATTATTATAATATTACCTATATGTATATTATATTTGGTAATACCCGCCATTAACTATTAATATCCATCGTATTTATAATAATATTACATATTTCATTATTTTATATCATAGTTTAGGAACCGATATTTTGGTATATTTCTTACGTAACGGGACAGCATTTTTTCAACGTTTTCTTTTTACATTATCTTGATAATCACTCAGTAAAAAATTTATATATTTCCCTAATAACGTGGACACTTGTTTTAAATTTTCAGTAATTAGCTATAAAAGTTGAACATTTTATAAGTTTTTTACCATGCAGGAAAATAGAAGCAGTACAGACAATAGGTATCAGAGTTCAGCTCAGAATCTAATGTTTCATTATACCGAGAATAAGTCAACGCACAGTCACGCGCTAAATATTACAATATCGTTTTCGTTCATTGGTACAACCGTGGCCCTTGAACAATAAGTTGTGGTGGATGGTCATTTTTGTAATTTGAATAGGCCATGTCTAATGTTGATAACTGTCGGGAATCGAATAATTCAACAGTGTAACAACATCCACGAGACCACGAAGTATAAAACATACATTTTAATACACGACACTACCAGCCGACTGTCGTCTGTTTATTTATAGACACTTTTTCCCCGCTTTCTGGGGAAGTTAGATGAATGCGTACGCCATTTACAATGTGAACATTGACGTTGTTATAAATACATTTTTATTACCGATGATCGATGAACAAACAATGATTATCCAGGATTTTCGTAGTACATATGGCTTCAATTACGTGAAATACCGATTGTACCTAATTAAAAATCTCGATGGACCCATGTTGACATTACAGACGGGTTAGGTATAGCTATCACGGTCGCTCGAATATAATATTAACATTAATTTTTTCGTTATCACGGATCGACCGACAACAACACAATAATAATGCAATTTGCCGTGCCCATACAATGGGTTATTTTTAGAATGTCTTTACCGAATTTCTCGTTAACTTCGGTAATACCCGCCATTAACTATTAATATCCATCGTATTTATAATAATATTACATCTTTCTTTATTTTATATTTTTTGTAATTTTGATAGGGCATGTCTAATGTTGATAACTGTCGGGAATCGAATAATTCAACAGTGCAACATCATACACGAGACCACGAAGTATAAAACATACATTATAATACACGACACTACCAGCCGACTGTCGTCTGTTTATTTATAGATACTTTTTCCCCGCTTTCTGGGGAAGTTTGATGAATGGGTACGACATTTACCATTCGAACATTGACGTTGTTATAAATACATTTTTATTACCGATTATCGATGAACAAACAATGATTATCCAGGATTTTCGTAGTACATATGGCTTCAATTACGTGAAATACCGATTGTACCTAATTAAAAATCTCGATGGACCCATGTTGACATTACAGACGGGTTAGGTATAGCTATCACGGTCGCTCGAATATAATATTAACCTTAATTTTTTCGTTATCACGGATCGACCGACAACAACACAATAATAATGCAATTTGCCGTGCCCATACAATGGGTTATTTTTAGAATGTCTTTACCGAATTTCTCGTTAACTTCGGTAATACCCGCCATTAACTATTAATATCCATCGTATTTATAATAATATAACATATTTCATTATTTTATATTTTTTGTAATTCGGATAGGCCATGTCTAATGTTGATAACTGTCGGGAATCGAATAATTCAACAGTGCAACAACATCCACGAGACCACGAAGTATAAAACATACATTATAATACACGACACTACCAGCCGACTGTCGTCTGTTTATTTATAGATACTTTTTCCCCGCTTTCTGGGGAAGTTTGATGAATGGGTACGACATTTACCATTCGAACATTGACGTTGTTATAAATACATTTTTATTACCGATTATCGATGAACAAACAATGATTATCC